TATGTTGGATGCATTCGGATCATAGGATAATAACGTTTGTTTTTGATGAATTTCGAACTGAATTCTTGAAATGTCTCCTTGTTGACTTTATAAACGAAGTGTCTTCAAGTCTGCATAGTGGACGATTCTTCCAATAGTGCGCTTTCATTTTGCTTTGATTCTTGTCTTACCTTATTGGTGATTAGCGATTATTATGGAAATGATTATAACACTGGCGATTATCGCACTCGTGATTCGCGATTATTACACTAGCGATTATGATACTGGCGATTCGCGATCATTACATAGCGATTCTAAAACTCGCATTATGCAACTAACAATTGATATTCTGTGAGTGTATTTTGAGTCGTCCACCAATGTATTTCTCTGAATTGACTCTTTTCGGCTCAACTACCACGTAATTTTCTTATCGTTTGTGATACAGATTTCCAGTTTTGCCAGCACAAAATCATGTGATAAGCTCATTAAAAAATTTATTCGAAAGCAATATCTAATTATAAGACCTCAATGGTCATTCTGAACAAAAGTGATTCAGTTGGCAGCTTATTGATGAATTCATCAGCTTCGTTTATTAGCAGATTTCCATGACGTATTATCAAATTTATCTCCGTTTCATCACATTATCAGTTGTTCACACTCTGTAATCAAAGCTATCACCATTTAACCATATCATCAGTTCATTACACTTTCTATCAGATTTATCATCAGTTTATGTTATATCATCAGATTTTCGGACTTCTGATCGTGCAATATTCATTTTTCGCAAGAGTGATCAAAAAATGTCTGCCCCTGAACGTTCGTAATTTGCGGTTCTAACCATTTGCTAGCAAACATATCATCAGATTATAGAGAACAAGCTTGATTTTTTTGTAAAAGCATTATTTTGTTCCATTGTTCGCACAGCATATGTGCACTAAACTGTAACTTCACTATTGCAAAATCACACATCAATCTTTCACATTCTCTCAAATGTTACGGTAACAATGAGTCCATCAATCCTCATTTAGCAATGAAAAAAATCTGAAGCTCAGATTATTGAGGAGGGCCCTTTTAGCCTGGTTCTCCAAGTGGATGAGCTATCGTCTATGTTCAGTAGCGTATGCCTTTCCATTCTTTCATGTTTCCGATAAAAATTTTTCACTCTTTTAATCCTGAAACTGAAATTTTCACCACACACTTTTCAGTCTTTTTCAAGTTTCATGATTCCAGCTTGAACTCATGTGATGTTTGTTTGCATATAAGTGGAGAACATTCGAACGAACGAATATTTTCTTATTTTTGAAAAACATGCAAAGGGAAATGGAACAAAACGAACAGGAAATGTACAAGCATATGAAATTGAATTGTATCGTCTGTTGTTTCAAGATGAAGATTGCAGAACAGCATAACAAAAGACCTAAAGCATTTTCTGTTTCTCCGAATCATAAAAATGGAATTTTTTTACTAACAATTCGAAAATAATAAGCAATACGTATATTATACACATGTAATACATGATAATTGTAACGTATCCTTAAGAAATTTCGGTTTCTATCTAGTTTCCTAGTACTATGAATGATAGTCGGTAGCTGTGCTTGAAATCACACGAAAATGCCCTCTTTAGCCAATCCTAAAATTCCGAGGTGAACACAAAAAATGGGCCGAAAAATTGTATGTTTGCGTTTTTTAACTCATCGAATAGTACTGAGTGTTCTCACCGGTCGCTTCTGAAATGATTCCGAGTTTAAGTAGGTCACTAATAGCATTCAGAATGGTACTGGTCCTAACAATGAGACTATAAATTACCTTAATAATACCAGTGATTGTGAGCGATTTAGAAAAATTGATTTTAAAAAAACAACAGTAGCAAACATGCATGTAATATGAGATATGAACAACAAAAGAGATCACCATTTTGATAGTTGCCATTAGCTGTAGAATAATTCGCGTCTGTACAAGGAGTTCTTTTTAGCAGTAGAACTTACAGTAGAACATTCATTCAACAGAACGTTTTCGTTGTGTGGTTGTTGAAATTGTTTTGGTTATTGTTTCTTGCCGAAACTTTTTGGTCATATGTTCTTGTGGCCATTCTTTTGATTTGATTCGATAGATCAAAATCACCGGTATTGCGTTGATACGTTCCAGTTGTTTGTTGAGCTCTTGAGCGGTTGGTCTGGCTCGTTGCGTTTGTGCACAACAGTGTCGCATAACGACACCTATGATGGGTGGCATCGCTTTTGGTGCTGGCATACGGTAACCACTCATCACCCGCTCTTTCACCAGACTTGCCTTCCAATTAGCGTACGGCATTGTGTACGGTATCTCGAAGAACTCCCACAGCATTATGCCAAACGCATAGATGTCTGTCGCGAAACACGTCTCACCTGTTCGCCAGACCTCTGGTGCCAGCCACCGAACGTTTTGTGGCTTCGACAAATCGATCTTATAGACGGGTTTCGCTCGGCACATCCCAAAATCGGCCAACTTCAACACTGCACCGGCCAGCAAACAGTTTCGAGTGGCCAGATCGCGATGAATGCAGTTCTTCGAGTGCAAATACGATAGACCACGACTGGCCTGGCAGCACATATCGATACGACGAGCGATCGTGATATTCTGCGCAGCATAGCGCAACTTATCCTCCACCGAACCACCCGTACACAGCTCCATGGCCAACAAATACGGGGCTCGATCGATAACGTAGCCGAAAAATTTGACAATATTCGGATGATCGTACAACTGCATAACGCTTGCCTCCTTCAGCAAGCGCTTCAAGCATCGCTCCATATCCCCGCCGCACATATCCAGGCCAATCCGCTTCACGGCAATTGCACGATTCTCTTTGATCAACAATCCCCGATACACCGTACCGTAAGCACCACTGCCTATCTTCTTGATCAATCGTATGTCGGCATGAGTCAAACAGTGACGTCCCTTTGGAATCGCTCGTCGCAACCGTATCAGTTCGCCTCGTGCCGTCTCCAGGTTACGTCGCTGATAATAGTTGACCATTTGCTGGATACTATCGAATCGCTTGCCCAACAAACGCACCCCACCGCCGTGATCCGACTCTGCGCATCGTTGAATTTGCCATCGTCGTACTCGAGCACCGCACCGGACGGCCAAAATTAAACGATCCTCGATAGCGGTTTTCATCGGTGCTGTTGTGGTTGTGGCTTTATTTTGATTATTGTTGTTTGAATTCGCATCGAAACGCAGTTGTTTGCTGTTCACAAGCTGTGACTGTATCAGGAAGTCGCCTCGGTTCACCAACAGTTTATCAGCATCCGCATCCGGCAAAGCACCATGAAAGTATTGTAACGTGTACTCTTCAGCAGTCATCAACGAACCACTAGTAACTGCCACTGCCTACCTTCCTTGCTCGATGTCGACTTTTGTCAGCAGCAATAACAATATCGACCGCTCAGCGGCATCAATAACACATAAGAATGATTGAGTTAAGACTGAGTGAGGAAAGTTATTGGTTACTTGGCTGATCTCAGGAAAAGATATGTAGATTTTGAATCACACGTAAATTCTTCACTGAAGTCATCGATCGCATCTCGGATAATTTCAATGTGCAAAGTTGCACACGGCAGCCCAGCCATTTCGTCAGACACTGGACAAGGCGTGATTGAATGAAATCAGAGCAAACAATTTCACAATTTTAAGTATCCCTTCATGAAATGCTCGTTCATTCCGTGCATAGTGAGTGTGATTTGGAATTCTCAATTTCGAACACATTTTCATGAGATTACAACGGATAAAATGCGGAAAGCATATCGCCTCATAGTGACTCTCATGCATTCTTAACACAATCACGTCTGATTCATCCACATTTCACGATGTTTCATTCTATTTGATTCGACTCGATTGACTGTCCAGTTATCACCAATAACTGTTACATCAGTGAGAATTACATTCCACTAAACCTTTATAATGTTATATTTTATCTTACGTTTTCAGTAACTAACAGTCAAAATGTTCGAAGGAAAATATTTTTTTGTCTTTTTACCTTGATTTTTGCCTTCATCAAAATACTGCGACCAACATTTTGAATGTTTGAAATATTTTCGAAGGAAAATGAAACGTTCAAATGTGAGATCTCCTAAAGGTGGATGGTTGATGGATAGCCCCCTTATTGAAATCAGTGTTTTTTGGCTCTCACTTGTAAGGTATCGCTTTGAAGTAAATGCGCGCATACGTCTCAGCGAAAGCTTATCTCAAGCTCATTCCTTCCTTTCGCTTCTCATAGTGACTTTCATATATTCTTCGCATAAACAACGATGAAGCACGATGACATTCAGCACAAGTTCACATGAAAACAAGCTTAAAAGCACATGAATCGATCTGCGTATAAAGAGTGGTGTTCACGTGTTCGTTCGAACGCATTTGTTTGTGTGCATTCATGTAAATGCTATTCGATCATCGCAGTTGAGTGTACACACAAAGAGGATATACACAGATATCACATATCTCTGTTTGTATTAATAGCAACAATGGGATCACAAATCTAATGGTCTGCCTCTCTTAAACAGCTAGGATGAAATTAAATGTAACAAGTTAACAGCGAAAGAATTTGTTGAGAAGCCTCTTTTCTGGTCGGTTAGGTGAGATGCTCTCCCTCGCTCGAGTAGGCTGATCTCCTTCAGAAAGAAGAAAGATTTTTTCGGGGTTTTTAGAATTTTTAGAATCATCAGGATTTTTCAGCCCTTTTCAAAGATTATTCTTACTCGGAGCGATTAATTGAAGATGCTGATCTTATAGTTCTCTAAAACCTGATATCGTCGGAAACATCTCCGATTTCGATACTTTGATATTCGATAAAAATAGTGTTTATGCGTTCATGTGTGCACATTTTGAATGTTAGCATATACCGATGCTTCAAGCTAAGACATGATATTGATTGGATTTAGTATACCTTTATCCAAAGCCACATAGCAGCCGTTATGCTTTCGTTTGTTGTTTTGAGTATTCTGAAAGCTTCCGCAATATTTATCCTATTGAACTCACTTCACAGCATTGTTTTTTCGATGAACATTTTCATGTTTAACTTCCTTCTCAAGCTTATTTCGTTGTGTGCATTATACAATCCATCGTCATCGATCTTCAATGATCGTCATTCATTTCGTCGAAAGCTTTTAAAGTTCCATTATATTCGTTTGATGAATGATATCGAATATTGACTGAGCGTTCATTCGAATATTATACACTTCATTTGTGTATCATTTGTTTTTATAACTATCTCTAATCGTAAGTATGCAATTTTTTCTCGAAAGCCACAAAAATTCACGCGTTCAGGGCATTGCTATATGATAGCGAAATGATTTTGCAATTGGGTAATGAACGAATCTGCTGGATGCGCATTTTATCTGATACTACGCGCTGAATCGTATTCTATTCTTGAGTGTTAGAGTGAATGCTGGAAAGGAATACTTTGAATGAGACAAACACTGGTCAATTGAAACAACCCTTGCGTAGAAGCGACTGAATCCATTATTGACAGGCAGATCAATGTTATCGAGAATATTTCAAAGCAGTCTGAAAATCAAAAAGATTTCTGGTATCACGAGAGTTTCAGATAGTCAAAGAAACAGTACACATATGAAATGATGATAGCAGTTAATTGTTGAATGACAAACGCGATTTGGAAAGAGGCGAAAATTCAAACAAAGATCATTGTGCACTGCTGAGAATGAGTAGGATGGTTATGGCAATACCGTTGTTATCGTCAACATCAAAAGTAAATATTAACGACCTGTATTTTGAAAGTGTTCTTCTTGTTGTGTTAGCTTGCAGTCAGTCAGCAATAGTGAAGATACTTTGACGCAATATTTTTCAGTCATATTTCCAAAATTATCACCAACGAATTGAACAGAATGTGTTTTAGTGATATTATCAGTTGGCTGAAGACGTTGCCATATTCTGAAGACAGAACGCTAATTTATGAAATTTCAAAACACAGGCAGCAGTTCTATTTCAATTGTGAATCCAGATTTTGAATAGATAGTTTGAATAGATAACAGATAATAGATAATTCGGAAAATTCTCCATTCCAGTGATAGTAGCAGAATAGTTCTGCTACTATCACTGGAATGGAGAATTTTCCGAATGCTCCCGTTTAGGATGCAAATCAAAAATGCCGCTCGTATCGTACCGTATTATCATGGCTTTCTCTAATGTTCTGTTTGTTGTGCACGAGGAGATAAATGAAAATAGCAAAAAAGTTATCTGCCTTAAATTATGTGGTAATTGCGAGGTATATGTGCCATATTCCGGTTGGTATTCAAAAGAATGCAGTTGAGGGATTGTTATTAAATTTTATACGTGGAACATTTCATTTTAATGATTGTATTTGATTGTTTTGTTGATCGAATGTGACAGAGTATGATTTTAATGGTACATAACAGTAAGATTATTTCGAAATTTATTACACACGTCACTGCATACTTTCAATTCAGTCAATTAAGAGATTGAGATGACATCCAGTGTCGCAATCACATCGCACCAATCACACTTTCAACTAGTCAAAAAGCGTTTTTCCATAATTGCTTTTGAATGATCCTCAAATTTTGTGTTGAAAATCTTTTTGAAACGCTCATATTCCTACATCGAATAGTACAATTTTCCTCGAATCTCAATGTCAGTACGTAAATTGCTTCTGAAAGCTTGTATTAATCAAATTAATCAAATCGGATAGCGATTTTTCAAAGTCTTCCTTGGCAGGGTTTCTTTTCATCGCCAGCAACAGAGAAAGAAATACTTTGAATGTTTCTCCCAAAAAAATTTATTGAGACTATGTACTCTGTCCATAAACTCGTCAAAATAATCAAATATGCGATTGTAGGATCAAAGATAGCTAATTTATTGGATGATTGATCAAAAATCAAAATGAAACAGGTGATTGACTTCATTCAACCGTCATTATTGATTTCTATGACGTTTTCGAGTGGTTCCTCGATGATCTTTAAAGTTTCATATCTCACATAAACTTTGTTTTCTGTTGACTGAATTCAGTCAACACATTATCAATCTTCGACAGCTATTTCATTCCACTTCTCTCATTCTAATTTTAATCTATGAATTGTAATTATCGTGAGTCTCGTGTGTATGCGATCATATGCTCCCTGTTAATGGCTGATAGCATTTGATGTTCGATCGCAAACGGCTTATAAATAGTGAATCACATCGGCAATTGAGCATTATTCGTGAATTTTCATCTCATCACCTTCGTAACATCTCACCACCTTTGTTATGTTACGATTCCACTTCAGTACCACGCAATGGTGTGTTTGAATCACAAAAGTACTCCTTAAACTGAGTGGTACCGAACCAGTAAAATGCTTTGTGAGAGGAATTTATCACCAAATGACGACAGCATCGCCAGAAAAGATACTTTCAAGTATTGTTCCCAGCAGATGATATTAGACGTTGAAATGTGTGATTTACAATTATTATCTTCAAAATATTAAATTGAGCGAACAATGCGGTCATTTTTTACTCGTCATATCCATAAAAAAAGGAAACGAGGATGCCGATTGAGGAGTTTCTTCGAATTTTTTATTCAAAACTTTTTATTCGAATCTACGATATAGGAAAAAATTTTTTCATCGCATAGCTTTGAGCAATGTTTTAATCTTGTACCCTACGACTGTAATGCACTTGAATCGCATCATAGAACAGAAACATTTTGACCTCTGTTTGACAAAACTATTTATAGAGGACAAAGTTGTACTTTCAAGAATGAATTCCAGTTTATTGCTTACATTGTTTGAAAATTTCTTCTCAGCTAGGTGATATTTTCAACAAGCATTTCACAACATCCTATAATCCACTGATACTTTTGTGCGACAATTGAATAATCAGGAAACCAAATGTTATAGGATGATAATCGTGATTGCCGAAAATATTCACATATGATCGACATCTTCATTTTTAGTTAAAAGTACAAAGATTATTTCTTTTTCCGGTAGTTAAGTGTGCTGATGTGTTTTGTATTTGACGTGTCTTTGCGATTAAACAATATACAACTGAATCTGTCTGATTGTGAGTTAATTCTGATTATCAGTCATTGTTGTTGTCTAAAAATTGATATAAGAACTTGTTGACAGCAATTTCACTTTGATAAATGTCGCTAGACTCTGAAATATGTTCCGAAAAAAATGGAATCGAAACGAATGACATCCTGATGAAATGGCATTCTGAAACATTAAAATCCTCTTTTTTGTTTTCTGAGGTTCTTGTTCTTTGATGTTGGATGCTGTCGAGATCGATGATGTCTGTCTACAGTTAAGAAAAATGAAGAAAAGCAGTATTTAGTATGTTAGTATGTTTCTGAAAGT